AAGATGAAGAGAAGAACATGGAGACAAAGAGAGATGAAGTGAAAATTGAGAGAGAGAGAGAGAGGAGAGAGAGAGAGAGGAGAGAGAGAGAGAAAGAGAGAGAGAGAGAAGAGAGAAAGAAAGAGAGAGAGAGAGAGGGAGGGGGAGGGAGAGACACGCACACACACACACACTCACAGACAGACAGGCAGACAGAAGAATGAGAGGAAGCAGAGGTAGAAAAGGATAGGATAAGGAGGGAAAGGAAAGAGAAGTAGAAGGTAAGGGATAGGAGAGGAAAGGACGAAAAAGAAGAGAAGCGAAAAAGGACAGAGATAAAACAAACAAACAAATATAGAAAAGCGAGAGGTAGGAAGAGAGAAAAGAGAGGGTCATGTGGCTGCCAAAAGTGGATGAAGCGAGGGGGGGGGGGCTGGGGGGGGGTGAGTGAAGGGTGGATCGGCTACCTTATTCATGAACACGACTTGTAAGGGAGAGGGGAAACTGATGAATGTATTAAGTCTCTCATGCGCCAGACCCTAGAAGAGACAGAGGGAGAGAGAGAGAGGGAGGGGGAGGGAGAGACACGCACACACACACACACTCACTCACTCACTCACTCACTCTCTCACTCACTCACTCACTCTCTCACTCACTCACTCACTCACTCACTCACTCACTCACACACACACACACACACACACACACACACACACACACACACACACACACACACACACACACACACACACACACACACATACACACACACATACACACACACACACACACACACACACACACACACACACACACACACACACACACACACACACACACACACACACACACACTCACAGACAGACAGGCAGACAGAAGAATGAGAGGAAGCAGAGGTAGAAAAGGATAGGATAAGGAGGGAAAGGAAAGAGAAGTAGAAGGTAAGGGATAGGAGAGGAAAGGACGAAAAAGAAGAGAAGCGAAAAAGGACAGAGAGAAGACAAGAGAAGGGGACAAGGAGGAAGGAGAGGAGGAGGAGAGGAAGAGGAAAAGAAAGGATAGGAGGGAGAAGAGAAGGGGAAGATGAAGGGGGAAGGGGAAAGGGAGGAGAGGGGGGCGAAGAGAAGGGGAAGGGGCAGGGGAAAGGGGAGGGGAAGGGGTGGGGAGGGGGGCGAAGAGGAG